CGTATGTTGACTAGTTTTCTGAGTCTTGTGACTCGAGTCTTGTTGTAGCTACCCCAGCACGCCAGTGTGGGAGTAGTTCCGTGTGTGATGAATTTGTTGACTACACTACAGCTAGCATGCACGCAGCGCATTGCTAGAGCCGTAGTCGTAGACTAGAGTAGAGGCCAGTGCATGCCGACGGAAAAAGTCCAACTCGGAAACGGCTAAAATACGGTATAACCTCGAGGTTTACCGAGCTGAAAATCACAGGGTACGTAGTGTTTGTAACACTGAATCGAATGGTCTTGGTCCGAAGAAGCTGCGACAAACGGTTCCCCAATCGAACGCGCTCCGAATATGGCCGTTTTGTACACAACTAGATGGTGTGGCTGTAGGGTCCTAGCCCTAGCACAACTCTTAAAACGCACACAAATGGCGTAAATCGATAGAGTTGTATTATTACTGTAATATTGACAAAGCAATGAAAGAGAGATAGAAAGGCAACTGCCTTCGATGAAACCAAACTATCTACTGGCCTAAAGCTCTAGGTAGAGAATGTCTTGGCCAGTAAGGAAAAGGGTGTACATGTGTAGTAATGACATAGTACAGTGACAGTGTGTATATGTCCTATATACAGATACGCTACGGTATAAATGCCTGGCGAAATACGAGGATGCATGATGGGATATATGCGTACAATCTGGAATCTGAATCAGAAGTAGCGTACACATTATAATTCTGGGAAATGGCCATAAAAATCAAAGTCACCGTTTATGGAAAACCCAGGAGTGAAAACGGAAAAGTTACAGGTATGGGAACTGCTAAAGTCACCACATGGTTACCTGGCTGCACGCTGTGACATCATCACCTGGATCTGGGTGATGCGCGCTCAAATTCGCACATGTTCGATTGGGCGTATCTGACGAACCATAGGCCGCAGCCTCCTCGGACAAAGACCATTCGACTCAGCGCCCCGAACTCTATGGACTGTGAAATCTAAATTTTTCACCGGACTTCCCCTTTAAAGGGGAAGTTAAGGCAAAAATTAAAATTTCACCAGTTGTAGTCTTCGGGGAGCTGAGTCGAATGGTCTTGGTCCGAGAAAGCTGAGACGCTCCCTTCCTACTTGAATCCCAATCGAACTCGCGCACTTCCACCGAAACTGGGTGACTGCGCCCTACTAGATGGGGATTTGTATGCAAAATGTCACTAAAAGCGCCGTTTCGTTCTTATAAAAGCAAGGATGACCGCGATTGGCCCATATGTTGTAGTCTTTTGGACGCTGAGGCGACTGGTTTTGGTCCGAAAAGGCTGCGATGCAGCGTTCCTCCTTTATTCCCAATCGAACATGGTTGAACAAGTGGTCACGTGCTCCTGGGTGCCCAAATCACCTGGTCACCACGCCAGCAGGCGACAACTTTCACACCAAGGTTCAACTCGAGTTCAACTCGAGTGACAGGACTGCACCCAAAAAAGGTCAAACAGGCTAGTAAGTTGTACCCTGCAGGCACGGTGACCAGCTGACTGGTGTACGCAGGAGCACGTGACCACTTGTTCAACCATGTTCGATTGGGAATAAAGGAGGAACGCTGCATCGCAGCCTTTTCGGACCAAAACCAGTCGACTCAGCGTCCAAAAGACTACAACATATGGGCCAATCGCGGTCATCCGTGCTTTTATAAGAACGAAATGGCGCTTTTAGTGACATTTTGCATACAAATCCCCATCTAGTAGGGCGCAGTCACCCAGTTTCGGTGGAAGTGCGCGAGTTCGATTGGGATTCAAGTAGGAAGGGAGCGTCTCAGCTTTCTCGGACCAAGACCATTCGACTCAGCACCCCGAAGACTACAACTGGTGAAATTTTAATTTTTGCCTTAACTTCCCCTTTAAGCAAAACAAACATATCCTGACACACAGCTAGCTGTGTCCACCCCCATACCTGTACACTGCCTTCCAGTATTGTGTCAGGAACTGAAGCGAAAACAGAGGTGTCCGTTGTGATGATGGCGATTTGGTTCCACCTCCGCCGCCACCACCGCCTCCGCCACGGCCTCGCTTCACTGCAATGACAAACAAACGCCAACACCCGTGGACCACTAGTAGTATTAGTACCACTACTAGTATGCAATTGACGTAATCAAGTAGCGTGCTCCACTGTCTAAAGAGCGCTCAATACCCATATAGGGCAGAGCCTTGCACACAAGAGAGAGATTGGAAGCTATGTCGCAACTCTGAGTTTCACGTATCACTACGATCATCAGGCAAGTATGCAATTGATCAAAACAATAGGGCTTGAAAGCGAGGACTTTCAAACACGACCGGGAAGTAGTAAACACGCAGCTCCGTCACTATAGCGTGAAGGAGACCGCTTTGAAAGTGCATGGATCCATACAAAACCTGATCCAAGTGGATCAAAAACCAGCGTAGCCATGGCAGCGGCATAGCAATATCACGCCCTATACCGTATTTTACCGGTTATATGTCGACCCCAAAGCTCCGGGCCTTCATTTTCCGGTTCAATATCAATAGGATCACTAGCGGTTAAACCCCGGTTGTAAGTGGACCACACCATTAAATTCTATCTATGAGTCATAAAAGGTCGACTTACAACCAGAAGAACACAGTACAGTAATAAAGAAAGAGAGACACAGCCAAAGTTCAGACAGGGCCTTGCATTGCTGCAGGCATACTTGCAGTGAGGTATAAAATGTTGCAATTCTGGAGTTCTTTTCTCCTTAACTGTCAATAAGAGTTTCCCGCCATACTAACTCACCGCCTGCTGAGGCCTTGTCCGCCAACACGTTGGTCAGTAACTCGTGTACCGTGAAGAGCTTGCAGATCTCCTGCCCGCTGTCAGCACTATACAACAAAATGGAGAGAGGGAGAGAGAGAGAGAGAGAGAGAGAGAGAGAGAGAGAGAGAGAGAGAGAGAGAGAGAGAGAGAGAGAGAGAGAGAGAAAGAGAGAGAGAGAGAGAGAGAGAGAGGTTTTCATAGCAGTGTTTAAGTATAGAATAAACACTGTGACATCGGTGTTTATTCTATACTTATAGTGAAACAACTCAAACTATCACAATGATAGACTTTCACGCGTAGCTTACGCACTGTTTGACCAGTAGTACTTCAAGGCAATTGGGTCTAACGATAAACAACACATCACCCAGCAGCGTTTTAAGGCACACATGAAATTGTACACATCCCGACTGAAATCCATAGGAAACACAGAGAATTGTCCCCATGACTCTGAAATACAAGCAGTGCAAATATTTGATCAGAGAATAGAGTCAAGATGCAAGAGCCTACATTGCACAGTAGCCAGCCCTGACCGAAGGAAAGTAGCTTCATTGGTAATGGAGCATTCAGGACAACACAACAATTGGTACACTGCCATTGCTCGCACTCACCTAAAACTGCCATCCATGAACACAAATTCTATAGCAGCCTGAAGATCAAATTCAGAGGAAAAGATTAAAAAAACCCAGATGAAGAGCAATTGGTGAGGTCAATGTCAGCTTGAACAGATGTGGACAGTACATGCAAGACCCAGAACTGGGTTGGGCACACGGAGCAGTGGGCATAAGGCCAAGTAATTTCTGCAAAATCTGCGCTAACCGGACGCCCTTGGTGCAGCGGAAACTGTCCTGATATGACAGGATTCCGCTTGATCCAAGGATCCACAGCACTGTTTGGTGCATGACAATGTGTCCAGTAAATACAGGATTCCGTTCGGCATAGGGTCCGGTAAACACAGGTTGTATTTACTGTACCTAGCGATCGCCTGGTGCTGGAGAAGCTAACTGCGCAGACTCAACCTGCGTAGTCAAGTGTGAGGTGATCACCACATCGACCCTACTCGAATACTAGTCACGTTCCATTGTTGTCCCCTCACCCACCCCGGGGCCAATGATGTCACACTGAGTTGTATAATTACACATCTTAAGTTGATATAATGCTGACTATGTATTAGAGGATTCCCAGCAGACTCTCGCTTCTTGCTCCAGCCTGTGCAAATGCAAATGTTGTTCGCTGCACACGGACTATTTAACATGCCTACATGAACACATGTAACCACTGACCTCGTAGAGACCCAAACTAGTCCAGCGCTCATGTGATTCTTAGCTCCAACGCTGGTGGCTGTTGAATACTCGGCTGATTTGTCCTGCAAGACACCAAACAAGAAAGAAAAACGTACAGACGCCATTGTTCGGAAAGGAATTCACCACGGGGAAGGATTATCCACTACCACGAATTGCATGGAAATGGTGGATTGTACATGAATAAAGTGTGGCATTTCTTTGTCTTTGCTCACCAGATCAAAATCCTCTAGCTCGCACTTCTGCAGCCGCCTCACAATACCGGACACCATCTTCTGCGTCTTGTCGATAATGGTCCGCTCGTCAGCTTCACATACCAACACGAGAGAGAGAGAGAGGGGGAGAGAGAGAGAGAGAGAGAGAGAGAGAGAGAGAGAGAGAGAGAGAGAGAGAGAGAGAGAGAGAGAGAGAGAGAGAGGGGGAAGAGGGAGAGGGAGAGAGAGAGGGAGAGAGAGAGAGAGAGAGAGAGAGAGAGGGGGGGGGGGGAAGAGGGAGAGGGAGAGAGAGAGAGGGAGAGAGAGAGAGAGAGAGAGAGAGAGAGAGAGAGAGAGAGAGAGTGAGAGAGAGAGAGAGGGAGTGAGAGAGAGAGTGAGAGAGAGAGAGAGAGGGAGTGAGAGAGAGAGTGAGAGAGAGTGAGAGAGAGAGAGAGAGAGAGGGAGAGAGAGAGAGAGAGAGAGAGAGAGAGAGAGAGAGAGAGAGAGAGAGAGAGAGGAGGGGGGGAAGAGGGAGAGGGAGAGGGAGAGGGAGAGAGAGAGTGAGAGAGAGAGAGAGAGAGAGAGAGAGTGTGTGTGTGAGAGAGAGAGAGAGAGAGAGTGAACGGCAAAGTCGACCACTACTATAATCTCAAATCCCCTTGGTACTGTAAAGGTTCACATGTACAAAGGCTCCAGTTCAAGCAACAGTAAACATGATTGTAGCCAAGCCCAGCCAAGAGAGGGAGCTTGATCTGTCAGGAAACCCGAAACTACATGAGAGGAACCCAAGAGACGCCACACTTTCAGAACAGTGGATACCCTGAGGAGAGCTGTGATGCCTGTGTCGGAACAGCCCAAACCAGAGATAGCAAAAACCGTACACTGTGCGTGGCATAGGCAGACCACAGGGGAAAGTACCCCACCGCGCCTGCAGCAGTGGAGTGGACTCCCAGCTAGTACTATCACATAGTTTTTACAGCACACACTTTGAAGCATGCATGTCACAATTACATCAATACTAGTAGGTCTACGGCACTCGTAGATGGTACTAGCGGATAACTAGATACGCCCAATGTAGTTCTGTGCTACTAAAGCAGCGTGACTTCAATCAACCTAATACTTCAGTAGTTCTTGTGAATAGACCTCTGAGGATTTGAGCGCTGGTGATTAAAGGGGAAGTTAAGGCAAAAATTAAAATTTCACCAGTTGTAGTCTTCGGGGTGCTGAGTCGAATGGTCTTGGTCCGAGAAAGCTGAGACGCTCCCTTCCTACTTGAATCCCAATCGAACTCGCGCACTTCCACCGAAACTGGGTGACTGCGCCCTACTAGATGGGGATTTGTATGCAAAATGTCACTAAAAGCGCCATTTCGTTCTCATAAAAGCACGGATGACCACGATTGGCCCATATGTTGTAGTCTTTTGGACGCTGAGTCGACTGGTTTTGGTCCGAAAAGGCTGCGATGCAGCGTTCGCCCCTAATTCCCAATCGAACATGGTTGAACAAGCGGTCACGTGCTCCTGCGTACACCAGTCACCTGGTCACCGTGCCTGCAGGGTACAACTTACAGCCTGTTTTGACCTTTTTTGGGTGCAGTCCTGTCACTCGAGTTGAACCTTGGTGTGAAAGTTGTCGCCTGCTGGCGTGGTGACCAGGTGATTTTGGCACCCAGGAGCACGTCACCACTTCTTCAACCATGTTCGATTGGGAATTAGGGGCGAACGCTGCATCGCAGCCTTTTCGGACCAAAACCAGTCGAACCAGCGTCCAAAAGACTACAACATATGGGCCAATCGCGGTCATCCGTGCTTTTACAAGAACGAAATGGCGCTTTTAGTGACATTTTGCATACAAATCCCCATCTAGTAGGGCGCAGTCACCCAGTTTCGGTGGAAGTGCGCGAGTTCGATTGGGATTCAAGTAGGAAGGGAGCGTCTCAGCTTTCTCGGACCAAGACCATTCGACTCAGCACCCCGAAGACTACAACTGGTGAAATTTTGATTTTTGCCTTAACTTCCCCTTTAACTCCAAGTGAGACTCAAAGAGTACAGATTTCTTTTGTGTACCGTATTTCTTGACTAGTTGGTTTGGAGGTGACAGCGTTGCGAATGACCGAGGGTCCTCAACGTCTGGTCTCACCGTCCAGGAGCAACACTGATTCACGCTGCTATCTGGTGTTCACGAGGTGTTTATCGCGCTGGAAGCGGAGCGTCTCTGTAGGTTTGTATCCCTGGTGATGTTTGTACCTGGAGAGCACTATATAAGTGGTGCTCTTCAGGCACAATCTTCCTCAGCCTACTCAAGCTCAACTGATGAGGGGTGAATTCCCCGAAACACTGTGTATTGAGCAGGGAGTGGTGCTTTCTTGCAGGTTTGCCGAGTCGAAGGTTCGATGGACTTCTCGTGTGCTCTGGATGGCAGTCGTGAGTCAGTCAAGTGTCAAGTAAAGTCGGCGGAATAGCGCGAGCTCCGGTGTGGGGAGCAAACCCTTTCTTACCGTATTTCCTCGATTATAATTATTATGTCGCACTTGATTATAAGTCGCAACCCATTTTCAGGCCAGAGCCAAGTTGCTTCAATACATTCACATAAGTAGGAAGTCAAACTCGATTGTTAGTCCCCTTCTTTTCCCTGGAAGCTCAGTGTAAAAAGGTGTGACTTACATTCGGGGAAATACAGTACATACTTCAAACAAGTAAGGCATGTGACTCGTATGCATCATGGATGGTAGGGGTACTAGTGCCAATAGGAAAGCCACCGCCAGCACTGCATCAAACGACAGCAATAGCAGCCATGTTTCCGACACTCACCAGTGACATCATCGTCCTCGGCAGTATCCAGCCAGTGCAGGCACTGCTCCAGGCAAGACTGCACTGCCAGCAGCAGGTCACCCTGTAGCAGATACACACAAGTAAACAACACACAACAATACTATAGGCGTGTGTGTGTGTGTGTGTGTGTGTGTGTACGTGTGCGTAAAAATGAAAAAAAGATCAAAAAGTAGGGATTCACTGTCCAGAAAAAGCCACATCAAATAGCTGTGTGGTGTAGACCAGGCTGAAAGGTGGCGGTCAATTCTTCAGCCTTGCAAGCTGTTCAATGGTGCAATCCCTGCACAAGTTGCTATGGCTTCTGCTATAGAATCGCTATCATCGCCTCTGGCGATGGGTGTCAAAGGTCAAAGGTGCGTGTGGGTGTGTGGAGGCAAACGGATGCGAGATCACCGCGAAACCGCACAGGAAAAGAGCAACAGGTGTATGCTGGTTGGGGTTTGGTAGTATACAACCAGGAAACATATCTCAGTCAGAATTTCACCAAGTAGTTATGCATCGGCATGGCTGGCATTATCCAGACACAGGTATTAGTGTGTGTGTGTGTGTGTGGGGGGGGGGGGGGGGGGGACAGTGCTGCTCTCTTACCACAGGCTCATTGCACTTGGCCACATCACCGGACATGGTGAAGCAGGACTCCAGCGACACCGGTGATGCTTGATGGGCATCCGCTATGTAATAGAGCTCCAGCTGTGGAACAAATGAACAAACCGCACTGTCATGACGTACATACTGCTTAGCTACAGCCACCTCGTTCTGTGCTCTTGCTCTAAAACATCATACATGAAATATCACCATAATCCTTCAGATGTGAAATGCCATCATTACCCCCGTTGTGTACCAACAGCGAGCGGGTGGACCAACATCCTGGCTGCTACATCCTGGCTACAACTACATGCACATCCTGGCTGCTGCTAGATGTGAGGAGTGCTCACACGTCGGTATTCATAAACGCCAACTAAAGGTATTGCTTATGAGCTCAACCAAACTAACACCAATGATTCTGTAGATCAAACTGCAATCATGAAATATAAAGCAGCAGAATCCAGCACTGTAAATCTTCTATACTGAACCCGTGAAGAAGACACACACACACACACACACACACACACACACACACACACACACACACAAACACGGACACTCAAGAAATGGGCTTGTGCAGACAGCAATCAGCCAAAGCAAATGCTCTAGACAGGGAATTTCTCGCTAACCTGTCTCCGCAGCAAGTCCAGCACAGACGTCCTCAGTTCTGGATTGGCAACCAGGACATGATAGAGACCCTGCCCAAGTACGACAGTGCACAAAAGACAACACGGACAAAGAACATGGTTGCTAGCCCTGACATTACAGCAATAGTGTCACAGGTGAAAGACAGCAACTCCAACATCTGCCTGCAATGATTGTGTGAGGAGGGGGGCGGGGTGAATGCTCAGCTCAAATTCTGGTGATGTCGAGTGATCATTTCTTCCCCGTCGCATGGATTTCCTTCGTTTCGCAACTGAACTCCAAAGCAGTACTATAGATACGTTCCAGAGAACCCAGTTTACCTATTCGGGATTGGCACTATCTCAGCACGCTGATCTGCTTGCCTTAAGGGTAAGTATGTATGCCCCATGAAACACATGGCTGGTGTGCCTAGGACTGGTCCTCTGATTGTCCCGGTGAATAATAATGCAAACCGGCCAGGCAACAACTGTGCTTTGCATAGATAGCACGGCTGTGGGAGCCAAAAAGAAACAAAGCAAGGAGAACACACACACACACCACTAACCTGATAGAGCATTTTACGGATGACCATCTGCTGTGTCATGCACCGACGGATGTTACCTACGAGCATACAAAGACGGCAGAACACATTGTATGTTAGTGTCAAAAACTACGACAACAGTGTGCCATCCAAGGTGTGTTCCAGCTGTGTGTGTGCGTGTGTGCGTGTGTGTTTGTGTGTGTGTGTGCGTGTGTGCGTGTGTGTGTGTGTGTGTGCGTGTGTGCGTATGTATGTGTGTGTGTGTGTTTGTGTGTGTGTGTGTGTGTGTGTGTGTGTGTGTTGGAGAGATGTGGCAGCTTCAGACCTGCGTGCGACCGGTATCCCGGAGACGCAATGGTACCACCTTGCTCAGGACCGGAGGGACTGGCGCGAACGTAGCCGTCGGAAGCCACCAAGCCAGCCCCAACCAAGAGTGTTCGTCTGTGTCTGCGGCCGCGACTTTCGCCGTCCGAATGATTTATCCCGACACAAGAACTACTGCCTCGCCTAATAGCTATCATCGCCTTCGGCGATGGGCTTTCCAAAGGTCCAAAGGTGTGTGTGTGTGTGTGTGTGTGTGTGTGTGTGTGCATGTGCATGTGCATATGTGTGCACGAGTGTGCTTTGGTTTTTGTGTGACAGAGTAAGCACTCACCGAGGATATCCAAGCAGAGAGCTTCATGGCCGGAGGGGCGCACTTGCGAGTGAACTTCAACCTGGATCTAAGAGAGGCATTGCACAACACAAGAACAACACAACCGCATACTCATAGATTAGTAACACAAGCAGAGTACTAGTACTTCACCGAACGAACAGTACTCAACACTAGCAGCAATGTGTGCAGCTGGCTCATACAATAGCAGGCCGAGAGGGAGCCTGCTCATAAACGAGTTGGCAGAACGGGAGTTTGTTCATGAACGAGTTGGCAGAATGGGAGCTTGCTCATGAACGCGTTGGCAGAATGAGAGCTTGTTCATACAGTACAAGGGGTAGAAGGAGGTTGCTCATAGTAGGGAGAGACGAAAACCTGAGTAACAACTGGAATGAAACTACAGTGTATAGGTTTTCTCTCTCTTTACCGTACACTCCTAGTCACACACAGTTAAACACTTGTAGTCAAGTACGGTTAAAACGAACAAGCACAGATACACACGGTAGCAGAGATCTTCATCGTGAGAAGGCTAAAAGTAACGTCGGCTGCTACTAGTATACACCCACGTGCACACACGCACGCATGTGCACACACACACACACACACACACACACACACACAGCCACGTACAACACAGACAAATGTGCATCCAGTACAGCAACACTCACTTGACTTGCTGACCAAGGTTGGCTTGCTTGACTGCAGGGCACACAGCCACCCAGCACCTGAGAAACACACGATAAAACAACAAATTCTGATCACAACAGACTTCACTTGCAACATAACTCAGAAAAAGAACATTCACGGCAATGGCGTGTTCTTCCACATGTAAAAGCATATCTTCCTCAGTAGTATGATAGCGGATCTACACGCTGGCAATGGAAAAAGGTTAGAGATGAGAAGGCATGAATGGGGGGGGGGGGGGGGGGGGCAGCAGAAGGGATACATATTGCATGGCCGTCTCCATAGGGTGCATACGTGCATATTATCTCCGCAGCCAATCCAAACCCATTCAGGATGCAGCAAAGAGATAGTCTGGAGATGATAAAGATACAGGACTAGCATGCAACGACTGGTCATGGTGTTCTTGACAAATCTACAGGGCTGCTCAATGAAATGCAGTCGTGTAACTCAAGTTGGCGCCTTGCACCATTGCGCAGCCCAGTGTTCGCAGGTCTAGGGCTGTGCAACGCCAGCGCGTACTTGAGTGACACGACTGGATTTCATTGAATAGCACTGTGGAGTGGTTCAATCACCAGCCAAACGTAGGCATGGGCAAGACTTGCATGCGTGCGTACATAACAATCTCACCTTTAGCTTACGCAGCAGCAGCAAGAAGCCGGCAAGACCGACTTTGCGCGACTCGACTTCCCTAAACATATGGCACAGAAGCACAACACAGTGGAACAAAGATATACAATCATGGACTTTGTGATCATAGGTTCTTAAAGTAAAGGCTTCAACAGAGTTGGTTTCTAAGAAAGCAGGTAGTATTTCAAAGTACTTGCAGGCAAGATAAAGACAACATTAATGGCATTCTAACCATGAAAAGCTGGGCGAAGATACTTTCTCACCCAAATCAACTGATGGCTATACTGTATTGAGGAGTACACGTTGGCACATGATACGTACCGTGAGAAGAGAGCCTTGCGCAACACGAGAATCAGCGAGTCCTTCAGCGATGCGCTGAGATTCATTAGAGGCTGTGTAGCGTATAGCCGACATGAGCATGTGCATGGACAAGTGTGTGCACCCACACACACCCACGCACACATGTACACACACACGTACACACACACGTACACACACACATACGTACACACACGTACATACACACACACACACACACAGACATGTCAGACACATACACACACACACACAGACATGTCAGACACATACACACACACACACACAGACATGTCAGACACGTACACACACACACACACACGTAGTCACACATACAAATTTCAAAAATAGAACACCATCACATCAACATAGTATGCAGCAGAACACACTCAGGTAGTTCGTCCCACAGATCCTGATTATTTTTAAAGAACTGAGACACGACAAAAGTGCCTAGCATCGAAAAAAGGCACTGCTAAAAATAACGGAATCAAACACAACCCGTTGCACAGATGGGGATTCCAATCGGATACATTGCAGAATTAGGCTTTGATAACTCATCTGGACATCTAAGCTTCAATTCCACTTCAGACAGTCAATTACTCGAGAACAGGGTTGGGAAATTGACAGTAAATGAAAGGAATGAATAGTGTACCTGGACACTTCGTAGAAGGCCAATAGCGGATGACAGTGGCAAGTAGGAGAGATAATCAAACGCTTCGCGGACCTGAGCAAGAAATGGAAGACAGGAAGAAGCAGATCTGACTCACAGACACTGCTGGGGAGGGTGAGCAGTGTAGCAAGACGGGGCCATAGGTATGTGTGTGTGTGTGTGTGTGTGTGTGTGTGTGTGTGTGTGTGTGTGTGTGTGCGTGCGTGCGATTCACGGTAGCATCATTGATGGGGCACTGTGCCGGTAAGACAGCGTCCAACTTAGACCAAGCTAGCTATACTGGTTGGCTCCTGGGTAGTGCTGGGCCAGTCGTGAAGACAAACCAAATTTCTATTCAGCCGCTGCCGCTCATAGTGACTTCTGGATGCGGTCATTGAGAGCAGGGATATGACACCTATATGACTGTGTATCCCTGGACAACACCATTGTCATCAAAGTGCCACTATACACACTATCATCAACATGGCAGATGGTGAACACTAAGGGGTTGTCCAAAATTATCAAACTTTTTTCACAAAATGAAATAATTTCGTTATGGGGTGCGGGGGTTGACCAATTTCGTTTCAGAAAACACTGATGCATGTACATGGCCGTTGGAGCAGTGACACACTTGCAACTTTTGTTCTACATGTATATGTCAACTTTTTTTACGTTCTGAGGGGGCGGGAGGGAGGGAAGAGTTAAATGGTTGGGCCTAAGCTAAAAT